TTTTTTCCCCTGTACGGTGCCGTCAAGCATTGGTCATGAGATTTGAAGGATGTCGATGAAACAGCATTGTTATGTGAAATGATCAGTTTTGTTCGGAAATATAGAAGCTAAACGTATTATTTTTGTCCTCCTCTTGATATGCTAACCATTAAGAAACGGGTGCTCCGCAAGATTGTGCCAGAAGTTGATCTCGAAATCCTGGAAACTGCTGTCATCCCACAGGCCCCAACTTCCATCATTTAAGATTGCCATATTATGTGAGGCCTGAAAGGGAGTAATCATCCGATTAAGCAGACATTTAATCGTTTGAGTTGCCTGAGAGAGCAAGGCATAATTGGGCGAGTCAATATATACCAATGTTCCACACTCCACCTCGCCCACCAGGATACTGAGATCTTGGAATACGCGGGACATGTCCATCTGGAGCGTCGTATTGGCGTATGATTGGTTGGCAAGAGTGAGCGATATGAACCCAGCCGCTGACAATCCGTAGTAAACGACCTGGGGTTGAAAAGCAATGTCAATGAACAAATCCAGCGCGAATGCCATGATCTCTGAAATACCTTCCAGACTAGTGATGTGCCAGAGTTGATGATCTGGTCCTTAAGCATAGTTGTCTCAATGACAAGGCCAAGCATGTCCTTGGAAACCCTAAATAATTCTGGAGCCGGCGCCGTGGACATTGGCCGGAGCAATGCTCGCCGCAGCAGGAAATGTATGTGGAGATAGTTCAGTTTCATGTTAACCATAAAGTCACGCTCCACCGGTCGCCGGTCGCATGCCTTAAGGCTGCTTTGAAGACGATAGTTTTCAGGGACCGCATTCCATTGGGCCTGGGCATCGGCATCAATAAGCCTGGAGTATAAATTAGCGAAAGGCCCGGAAACGGTAGATGCGAATAACACACGTACTGGCCTCGTCGTGTTCTCTCCTCGTAGTTCTCCTCGGTGAAAAGATCCAATATATCCTCCTTCAATATTCCACATACAGCAGCCCACTTTGAATCTGTCGCAAAGTCCGGCTTCTCAGTGGAGTCCCAAACCGCTGGCGTGCGGGAGGCCCTCTGAGCAGGCTGCGTAGGTGTTCCAGGAAGATAGAATTGACAAAACTTCCGCAAGATTCGAGGAGGTCGACCCAGAAATATTGAGACATTTTTATCAGCCGAGTATGTCCGGCAGAACGCTATTTGGCGAAGCTCACGAAGGAAGCGAGGTGCGCTGCGAAAGGCCTCTGTCTGTTGTTGATGGTACCCCAGAGCGTAAAGAGAGGCTGCAACGTCTCCCAATTTTCGCCAGGAGAGGTAGCCTACAATGCTCGTCAATACTCTCGAGCCAAATGCAGTTAGGGCCAGAAATATCACCCACTCTGATCGCCATCCACCTGTGAATGGGAGATAAAGTTTTCGTATTGCAGAAAAAGCTGTAGGTCGTTCATGCAATCCAGAGGTAGACAAAGATCCAAGCATTGATCCGAGTACGAAAGCGCGAGCTTTTGGAGCTTACGGCGTTGTTGCTCTGAATCATACAATGGCTCTGCATAAGCCAAGTCTACCGAGGCTCGGCAGATGGCAGTGAGAAATATGCCAAAGGTCTCCCATCGAGTGCTTTCCCCAGCGAAGTGAGTGCAATATTCATCAAAACACGTTTCTTCGTTCAAAGGGATGGGTTGGTAAGAACGATAAAAGAGGTTTCTGGAAATCGTTCGCGCGCTTGCATGTGTTCCATCGCACTGCAAGAGTTTGTAGTCAACCGCCGATGCACAGGGTTCGGTGAGAGGCCCAGCTAAAGCGAGGTTTGCCCCCGTTGAAACCCATTTCCGGAAGAGATGGGAGAATGGCTGGAGCGAAAATTGGTGATGCAATTGGAGAATAAGCTCTGCGCCCTTGGCGATACAGCCGTCATCAACCACGTAATCGTTCTGACCACTTGAACTGATTGCACTTTGTTGACTCCGAGCACCAATCTCTGTGTCGTTCTGGAATGCCAGCTGGTCGAAGAGTGTCGTGTGGCTTGATGAGCCCAAGTAGCCCGGATTCGGATATTGAACCGATGAAGGTACCAGATCTCTAGAGACATGTGCATTTGACGTACCGGAGGCTGCGCTGTCTTCTCGGGCCCTAGATCTTGGTTACAGAAGTCTTTATTGGCCGTGAAGACTGGGCCACTTGCCTCTGTTCCTGTGAACTGCGGCTTAAGGGCCGTTTGAACGGCCTCGGCCGGTATGCACAGGCAGCAGCCTTGCCATTTTCTCTGCACCTGGAACAACTCGGTTTTCCATGGTCGCATTTCACCTTCATTGCCCGGCATGGGTCACACGCCGGAATCTTGCGGGGCTTGGGCGTCGCATTCGGCATGGCGGGAGTAGACTCTATATCGAAGTTGGTTGTCATCGGTGTGGATTTCTGTACTCCGTGAAAAATGGCGATCGGGATTCTACCACTCCGACGCCGACGCCGACTCCGGTGAGCAGATGGTTTGACTCCGACTTCGATGCCGACAGGACGACGTGTCCATCTTTTCAACTATATCGACCATCGCATGTCATGACAAAGCCAAATTTATGATAGCCAGGGTGGAGATACCTCGCATTATGCATTTATTATGGCGACATCGCTGTGCCTCCATTCTGGTCAAACGATCTTCCTATTAAACAAGCCTGCCGTCGCGGGTTTTCTTTAGTCCTCGGTTTCTTGTCTCAAGCTTAAGAGTCAACAACCATTTACCTGAGCGACCATGACTGTTTCAGCTAAAGGACATATTAGGATTGAGTATATGCCCGACTATGATCAATACCTAGCCCGCGTCAAGCGCCGGAAAGAAACAGAGAAGCTCGAGCAGCACCTTCCCAAGGGGTTTCCACCCCGTCTATCTGGCGATCTTGTTTGGGGAGGCAAGGATTTGGTGGATCATTACAACTGGAATTATTACCTGACTGCCGCAGACCTCGGCGAGATTGAGCAGGCTCTTCAACACTTTAAAGGTATGCTTTTCATTGGCCTGGCTAAGTGATCACTTGTATGCTAACACCTTGACCACTTGGATAGCACTCGGGAAGCCAATGGGCGAGCTCACACCAGAGACTTTCCCATTGCCCAAGTTGAATGCTGTGTTGCGCGAAATTTCTAACGAAGTTCACAACGGTCACGGTTTCAAAATCGTTCGTGGTCTTCCAGTGGACTCTTACACCCGTGAGGACACCGTCATTATATATGCCGGTCTTTCATCCCACGTGGCGCCGATTCGTGGTCGCCAGGACAACAAATGGCAAGGAAAACCGGCTGATGTTCTTGTTGCTCATGTCAAGGACCTGAGTCGCTCTTGTAGGTCTGAGGACATACCCGGACCAGTGGTAACTGCGGAGAAGCAGGTTTTTCACACCGACTCTGGTGATGTTATTGCTTTGTTGTGCCTTGGCGAAAGTGAATCGGGCGGAGAGAGCTACCTTGCCAGTACCTGCCATGTCTATAATACTCTAGCAGAGACGCGTCCTGATCTGATCAAAACTCTCTCCGAACCTTGGCCATTTGATGAGTGAGTCTACCCCTTTCGTATTGCCCGGTTGGGCAACGTCTACCTCGTTGTAAAGAGGGTTATTAAGGTATCTAGCTTTGCCCCGACTGGTGATCAGTATAAGCTGCGGCCGCTACTGTACTACCAGCCTGCTACCGATTCCGAACCGGAGCGACTTATCATTCAATACTCGCGGAGAAACCTGACTGGTTATTGGGATTGCAAGCGGTCGGCAAACATCCCACCATTGAGCGATGCGCAGGCAGAGGCTCTTGATGCCATCCATTTCACCGCCGAGAAACACGCTATTTCGCTGGACTTCCACAAAGGCGATATTCAGTTTGTCAATAATTTGAGCATTTTACACGCGAGAGGAGCATTTACAGACTCAATAAAGAAGCAGTAAGCGCCTTGATGCAGGTTCTGAGCTAGTGGTATATTAACGTTGCCCCACAGACGCCACCTCCTCCGACTTTGGCTGCGCGATCCCGAGCATGAATGGACGAAGCCTAAGGACCTACAGGAGCGATTCGATCGGGTTTATGCGGGTGTGACAGTTGACAATTCGGTATTCCCGCTAGAAGCCACCATTCGCAGTAGAAATGTGGCTACTTGAATCGGTTATATGAGTGCATCTCATACAATATAACAAGAGAGCAGTTTGGCACTCCCGAATATTCTGCCATGGAGTCCGACAGCAGCATTGCTACTAGTAATGTTGATAGTAGCTCTAGAGTGTACGTAGAAACATACTTTCCTATTGGACTTCAAGGTTACTTCATTGAAACCGCCATTTTAGGTAGTCCTGGTGAAAGCAATACAGGTTACCAAGTATTGGGTTTTTGTTCATCTTTACAATAGATTATGATCATTTCCTTTAAACGATCCCATGGCAGATCATTCAGGCACACCCCAATGAAGACAATCTCATCATTCTTAAAAGCAGTCTGATCGTCTTTTCGGCGAACAAAGGTGTCTTTCCTAATATTAATATTTTTGTTTATTATACAACGAATACCCTGAATGATAATACCTAGTCTTATGTATTCCTTAGTTGTTCCAACTATAATAACAAACTATATGGAAATTGCGATCCATCTAGTGCCGCAAATACTTTTTACACATTAAATTTAGCAAGCTTCGTCTTCAAAGAGTTCCTGTAGATCTTAAAAATTAGTATGATATATGATATGGTCACATAGTTTATAGACTATCGTACTATTATATAATAAATTACAGTTCAGTAGTTAAAACCACTCTTGGATTAGTCAGAGAAAAAAACTAGGAAGCTAGCTAATTACTCCGGCAGTAGTCAGAGCAGTAGATATATATTCAAAGAGTACTTAGTAAGTGATCTAGAGTGTCTACTAATCACTGATTTACTTAGAAATTGGTCCCACATTATTTTAGTATACTGGCTTAATACTCAGGGAGCGCTCAGTATATACACTATCTTATTCCAGCTATGCGTTGGGATTAATCACGGAGCAAAAGGCAACCCTGAGCTAGTCCTGTTAGATCTCTTTCATACTCGCAGTGATCGACTTGGTCGGTGAATGAGGGTTCGTAGTACCTGTTGCTCTCGTTCCCTGCCTAGTTACCCCACACCCCTTCCTGAAGTCCTTGATCATGGTATCGTTACCACAAGCAGTCCGGGTTTTTTTTTTTTTTTTTTTT